TCTTTTTAAATTACAACTTTTTTAAAAATAAGGCAAGATTAGTATGGTATTTTGTCCTATGTCAATTGATACAAGCCAAAAAAATAGACAAAAATTTACTAGACTCTGTATTACTGAGTAAACTGTATTTCATTCATCTTGTTGTAACCAAAGTTCTCTTTCAAATGTATGGAAGAAGCAAAGAACAATCAATACTGAGGTAAAAACCTCTTCTGAATTCCCTCTCTGTGTGGCCTGAACCATGAACTGGATTCATGAACTATCATTCAATTTAAACATCTCCCTTGTTTACTGGACACGTATGGATAGATAGTAGGAATGTTTGAGACAAAACCATTAAACATTTAATAGCCGAATTCTAAAGACACATTTCATCCTACAAATAGAGACTGCTTACACACAACAGCATGTTGCTGTTACTGCAACATCTCACTCAGTATTTGGGGTGGTTCTGCAAAGCATATCCCTGGATACACTGAGATAAGGGTGGGATGTTCCTCACCTGGAAAGTCCCATTACCAGCTTCCCATTACCACTTTGATAAAGTGATTCGGTGAGCTGATTCAAGATGAAATCTCCCTGTGTGTTTCCTAGCCTACATGCCTGGGAAAGCCCTGAGAAGGAAATGGCTGCTTTAAGGAGTTCAACCCGTCATTCACATGTATTGAATGAATTTCACCCACTTCTTATGCAATGAACAGGAACATCAAGAGAGAGAATGGGCTGCGCAAGAAAGCACTTGAAGACCTACTTGAGTGTAATTTAGCAGCCAAGGCTTTGTCTGAGATTGTAACCTAGCAGTCAGCAATGGAGCATCCTGATAAGAAATGCTGGGGTTATTAAGAATCAAAAGCACAAGCTTGTGAGTAGGAAGATCCTGAAAGACAGGAGCAGGAGCAGTGCTGCCTGACTGCTGTCAAGTGGCTTTGAAACCTGTGTTGTCAGAGCTGCTTATCACACACGGATAACTGTATATTCACTCAGCCTGACAAACTCCAAAATGCAGGATCACCCACAGCTGCATGGGAATCATGGCAGTGTGAGTTGTAATCTCAGGCTTTTCATTCTCTACTCAACACTGCCAGCTTCAGTCTGGAACTTTATCTTAGGAAATTGCATAGGCATTGAGAATTCTGGGGTAAGGTCTACAGTTAAACCATCAAATTGCCCTTGTGGATTGCACAGTAGGGATTTGGCAGTTCACACCAGTAGATGAGATCTATCCTGTAGGGTCATTCCCACGCATTCCTGTCAAATCTGCCAAATGGGGATCACCTTGCAGGTATGGTTTTCCTTTCATGCTTTTCCCATGTGTAAATCCACAGTAATCAAACATGTAGGTGCTTAGATTGTTTACTACAGTCCTGACTGCAGAACCACCAAGAGGACAAATACTGTTTGTTTGGGTTTTTTTTTTTCCTGGAAACTAATTTAGCAGGCAAAAATGCTGCCTGAAAATTAGAAATCTTGAAGCTTTCTACAAGTTTATTGCATGTGTCACTGATAGTAGCCACAGAATCACTTAAAAGTATTGTTTCCTGCAAGGAGCAAGATCCTACCTCTGAGCTTTCTATGCTGAATGGGAGAAAGTATTTGGGAGATGAATACGCCCTTTCCCACCACCATATAAGTTGAACAGCTTGTCAGTTGGAATGTCTTAACATGGTTAGGCTTCTAAAGTAGAAGCCTTGCTCACTAATAACTCTTGCATCTTTATCAGGACTGCCTTTATACTTAGTGTTTTCCTTAAAGACCTGTTCTCTGGTGTCACAAAATCATGCCAAACCCTCATTTGCCATCTACAAAGCACATTTAGTCCTTGGCATTGTAAAGAAGAACTGGAAAGATCTACTTGAATGAAGCTCAGATATAAAGAAAGTGTAAATTAAAAAAAAAAAAAGTTTTAAAACCACTGTCAGAATTTTGGGGCAGGAAGTGATTTATGTCTTTTAGTGGTTCAGATTTGCAATTTATAGAACAAAAGAAATCATTACAACTGTCAGAAAAGTGCATAATGAGAATAGGAGAGTGCTGAACCTCAAGCTAAGGTTTTCACTGCTGAACCAGCCCACTTCAAACAAGTGTTCCTTAGCCAAAATGGAAGGGGATAGATTAAAACTTGGGGGGCAGAACTACTAAAATTCATAAAAATCAAGTTTTATTGGAAAATTGCACCTGAAGGAGGTAGTTTAATGAATTTACCAACGAATTTAGCGGGAATAAGTCACCACTGGCTATGTTAACATACAAGTCAGTTGCACTGGAGTGCCACCTGTGAAGCACAGATCCAGAGATCTGCTTGCAGTATTTAAGTCAGGAATATTTCTGGGACTTTCACAGACTGCTGCCTTCTCAGCAGGATGTGCTTGATGAGAATGAGACAGGTAGCAATTGTCATTCTATTGCAAAAATTCCTTATCTGTAAGTTTATGAGCAAAACTGGAATTTGATGAATTTCAGGTCATGACACAAAAGCACTTCTTTCTCATCATTCTGGCTTTTAGAAACATACTTTCCAGCAACAGACAATTTGATCTGTGTGTTCTATTCTTGATTTGGTCAACTCATTCTGATGGCCAGAAATTTTATGAAAAGCATGTTTCCCCATAATCTTTTGATTTCTGTGTGTCATGGTAACCAGTGGCAGTAAATAACAACAATGTTCAAGCACTTTCAGAACCAGTTTGTAGCTGGACAAGGGCCAATATAACAGGGAAATGAAGTTTTGCAATGACAATTTAGCAACAGATAACACAAAAGATGTCCTTGAAACAAAGGGAAACAGTCAAAACAGGTGCAACATCAGCTGTTGAAACACAAACCTCTGAGCACTCTGCATGTGAAGAAGAACAGAATAAAGAAGGTACAAGAAGTCCAAAGTCATTGCTGAGCTAAAAATTCCTTCAGGAAGCTGGATGTCTTTTTTAACTCAGAAAGGGAAGATTCAGTCCTCGTTGGTACAGTAATGCACTGTATTTCTCACACAGACTGAGTGTAGAGAGGCCATGCTGAGGTGCCTGGCCAAGCACGGATTCCCTTCTGGACAGCAGCTGCTGTTTCACTCCTGCTCAGGGAAGATGGTCTCATTCCATCACACATGCCTTGCATGTTCCTCAACCATACTTCAGGAAGGACGACACTGCTTGAACCTCGAACAACGCTGATACTTTCACACCTGCCTAGCAGTACTGTAATATTGCCATGAATCACATCGCTATTTTTGGACAAAGTGAAATTTCAGAGACAGTGAAACAGGGATTAAGAGGTGTCTCTGTGATCTCTCTCAACATTGCTCCAAAACTGATCTGGGGAGCAGATCTTGGCTGTCTGGTCACTGGTAGTAGCTGCAATGTTCTGGCACTCCAATTGATGCAGCAAAAGGTGGTCTGGGAGGACAGCAAGCCTGTTCTGTGGTCAAAATGAGACACACAAAGGAGTAGTCAGGGCCTGGCTCTTTTAGTAAAATGGGAGCTGTGGTGAGAGAAGCCACATCACGGTGTCAGCTGAAGGGCACAGCACTGCTAGCTTAGCAGATCAGTGCCAGCTGTACCATAGCTCAAGACGAGTCCTGCAGTCAGTTGCAAACTTAGAAAGATGGACATGAAAACTTTTCTGCAAAGTGATGATACCGTAATCATGATCAAAAAGCACTGTGATGGCAAGTCCTAGAGATAAGGCACCTGCTTGTTATCTGAATCTGAGAGGCACCTAAGAATGCCAGGTATGAGCAGAGAGTTACTCATAAACCCTTTTTTAATTAAGGGGATAATAATTTGAGCTGGAGTTAATGTTTGGCAGCAAGCTGTGTGGCTTGGGAAGCACTTTGGAATTCACACCTTCAAGTGTTTGCTGCAGAGGAGCCTGCTTTTTTGGCATGCATCATGTATTTGGTGTATGAAGAAATACAGAGCATTTTGACCTTGAGGCAATTAATCTCTTCTGAGCACATGGGTTTTGAATAGACATAGACATAATAAGAGTTTTTAAATTACAGAAGATGTGCTCAATCTTTCCATCAGTATATAGATGGAAGAAAATGTGGGAAGAATCTCTGGAGGAGAGAAAAACACTCTTACTTTCTAAAAAAATCACCTCCCATGTTTGAAAAGAGGTGGATCCTTTGTATCTCATCTCTCCTCAGTTTGCTGCAAATTGATGTTAGACACTGGACATGAGCAAGGAGAAAACCACTGATAGTGTTTTGTCCTTGAATCATATATACAGATATAGCAAAAGGCAACCCAGGTATCAACCATAGTGTCACTCTTGAGTTTATAGAAGGATTTGGACTTATATTTTCACCTTTTCCAGAGAACCTTTGTATGTGCTGCATTTACCAAAGGGAAATTTTTAATAAAATTTTAAATAAATTATAATGCAATTATGTTATTTGATTTGTCAGCACTGAATTCAGACTTACCTTAAGTGAGGACTGTTTTATACCACACACATGAGAGGCTGGCCGTGATTTCAAATGTAAGCTGAAATGAAAACAAATGCAAAGATTAAAAAGAAGACATTGCAGATAAGTAAATATTAATTGAAATCAATACACATAGATTAATTTGCACCAAATCAAGATCCAGACCATGCTCTGGAGAGCCATAAATGGGAAAATAAATAGACATCAACCTTTTTTTTTCCCAAAACTACCTTTCTGAGAGTAATCACAGTACCTAAATGCTCTTAATTTAAGCATTCACTGGAGGATGTTACAGGTAAGTGCTCATAATACACAGTAGGTATTTCCCTGGGGGCCATGATAGTTTGCATAATGTGCTAGCTATTTCTTTTCCAGTGTTGTGATGGCAGAAAACTGTTACAGTAAGGCTAACTCTAATGTGAAGTTTCATAAATGTCTTTTGCTAACAAGAGATATTGATTAAGTTCCCAGTTTCACAGGTTAAAATAATACCAAACTGCCAGTGCAGTCCCTGCTCCTCCATATGATCCAATTTCTTTTTTATAATTAACTTTTTTATGTACTATTCTATTTATAGATGGAGAAGTGGAGAGCCCCACAGCTGGAGCAGATGTGGCTGTTATTGGAGGTGAGTAGCAGACCATGTTAAGCAGCACCACAAGAATTAAAACAGCAGGTTTGTTGATTTCTTGCATTTTGCAAAACCCCTACTTCGCTGACAAGACAACAGGAGCGGCACAATTAGAGTTAATTAGGCCAGTGGGAAATCTGCTCCCAGAGGGGCTATTGGCAAGATAACAAGAAGAGATAATGAGCACAAACCATATACTGAGCAGTACCACCCTCATCCATTCCCCATTTTTGGACAAAATACCAAACAGTCCAACAGAAAAGTCAGACTCTGATTTCCTTCAGTATTCACTGGGTCAAGCTTGTCCTTTAGTACAGAACTGGTGGAGCACCTTTGATTTGAGCGATGTTAGCTCACACCAGCTGACCCTTTGTTGTTACAGAATTCACCACACTCTATTTCCTGGTGTTCCATTAAAGCTCTCTCATGCATTTAAACTAAATACAGTTGTCAGAATAAATGAGCAAAGCTACGCTCACGGAGTGAACCTGTCTTTTTATTTTTATTGTGTTTGTTCATTTCCATGCTAACACACTAATTTCAGTCATTCACAAGGGGCTATACCAATCATTAGTGCAAATTGGTGAGGTTCTGCTGTATTTCCCTCAGGTCCCATCTCCTGTAACTTTAATTTCAGCTTTCTATGAACAAGTAGCAGGTAAATTGATTTGCACTTAGTCCCCTAGGCTTATTAATATTGTGCTACATCTAAAGCCTATTAGAGCCTCTTGTGTCAAGGGATACCACTGAGGTCCTAAAAATTGATGAAGCCCACGCTGCAACCATGATATTATTTTCAACTTGAAGTTCTTTGTATAAGCAATTTCGTTTCTGCTAGCAGTAACTTTACCTTCCAGAACCGAGCACCATGAAATCTGGGGGATAATGTTAATTATCCATACTATATCTTTAAAGACAGAGTTATAATCTTTATTTACCCTGCTAATATTCCATCTATTATGTTTTTATGCCAGTAGGGTATCCACACTCAGTTTACTGATGCTGATAAATCTAAAGCTTTGGAGATACCCATTCTTGCCACTTATCTTGAATATAAGATGCAGAAAAGAAGTACTATCCACCTTCCCCTCATTGTCTCTGCAGAGTAGTAGGCATTTCCAAGGAGCAATTCTTCTGACAAAACATAAAATTCACTTCTAGAAGAAATGACCCCACGCACACACTGACAGCAGAGGAAGCCCTAGGAATGTTCTGTTCAAGTTCTTTTTATTGTGTATTTCTTTAATATTTGGCTTGTTCCTGGATTCATATGAATACAGCATCAGCTCAGTATCATGTACTCATACAGAATCACAACAAAAATGTTTATAAGCACATCCTGGATCCATACAAAAAATAATTTTAAAAAAATTATAAAAGTCACACAAGTTGAATAAACTTCAAAAAAAAATTTTTTTTTTTTTTGGAAGTGAATAATTTGATCTAGGAGGAAAGGGATAGAGTTTGTAATTTTTTTAAGAATGGACTTGTCATGAACTTGTCTCTTTTACCTTGGACTTCTACCTTTCACAACGGAAAAGGATCATGAATTTACTTTTTTTTCACTATGAGTGTTTCCAGTCATCATTTAGTCCTACGCACATTGAGGTCACCTATAGAAATTTTTGTCCAGTCAACACATATCTGGAAATTAGTCCAGGAGACAAGAAAGATCTACCCCGAAGCCCTTCCTTCTGCCAGGTGTCACTTTCACAATCATTATAATCAAACTTTCTTAATTAAAGCACTGAATGAAATGGCAGTTTGCAAATTCAGAGCAGTTCCAGAGTCACCCAGCTCCTGCTATTTGTTGAATGCCCCCTGTGAAATGCTCAGTGCCCTGAACATTTCCTGATATTGAGAACGCTTGAGAAGGCAGTGTTGGGTTGTCTGCAGCACCCCCCAGCCCAGGTGTATGTTACCAGAAGGATGAAAGAAACCTGTTGGTTTTCCTTTATGTTCTTTTATTTCTCCTCATTTTGAAATTAACTTTCAGGTCCAATATGTTCAATCAAATCAAGCTATTGAATTAAAAGAAAGCTAGTGAGAATTTTTCCAGTATTCCTGCAGTATCTATATCCCACCTTGTTTTTTGCAGCATGTTCTGACTCTGGCCACTTCCACATGCAAGCTCCTTATGACACATGGGCTTTTCCCTACCCAGCAACTCAGGTCATCAGTCTGGCTGTGAGACACTTCTCATATTTTATCCCTGGTGATACATTTAACTGGTTTCTTTCTCCTAGGTGTGATTGCTGCCGTGGTTTTCGTCCTCATTTGCCTGCTGGTGGTGATGGTGCGCTACATGTACAGGCACAAGGGCACCTACCACACCAACGAGGCCAAGGGAACCGAGTTCGCTGAAAGCGCCGACGCCGCTTTGAAAAACGACCCCGCTCTCCAGGAAGCAGTGGATGAGAGCAAAAAGGAATATTTCATTTGAGAGGGAAGGATTTCCATGGAGACCTCCCTGAGGGAATCAGTCAGAAGTATAACATCAACAGGAGTACTAAGAGATGGATAATACGAGGATACAGGCAAGCATCCTAATTGAAAAGTATCTCTCTACGTTTTTGTCACTGGGTTGTTTCTTTTCCTCTAGCAGTGAAGAACTAAATGCCAGATACTTGCCTGTTGATTTTATTAGCAACACAGCTGGTCACAGTTGAAATCAATATCAGATAAGAAGAAACAAAATCTCAGTATGAGTGATACACCAAAACCAGATAAAGATAGCAAATGTCAAGCCTTGACATTTGGTGAAAATAGCAGATGCCAAATGAAAACATCCTCTTAGAGTTAATGATGCATCCTATTCTGATATGATGAAGAACTACCTGAAATTGAATTTCAAATGGTAACAGAACAAACATTAAACTAGATAAAGGTGATCTAGCTTGAAAAAAATAAATCCATAGCCCAGATATCCCCCCCATCCCCTTAAATGTGCATTTTTATTGGCACTGGGGTGTTTGTGTTGTTTTTTTAGGGGGATTTACACTGGGATTTCTTTTTTTAATGTTTGAATTTTATACATATATAAAAATCCAAGATACTTCAAAGAAATAAAACTCTTGGAAAACATGGAAAAGGTAAGAGTGAAGGATTTATTACTGACTTTCTCTGCATGGCAGCTTGAGAACTGTGAAATGTTGGAATTTACAATATAGTATACAATAGTCAGTAGATGTACAAATATGATTCCAATTAGTCTAGGTTTTCTGCACACATGCATAAATAGATAGATATTAAAAGGTAAAGCATCCTGGTTTGAACAGACCCCTTAAAACAATGGAGCTCAGCTACACTTTTTTTCATGTAAGATATTTTTGCCTGAATATTTATTTATTTATTTTGCATTAGAAAAATTCTCTGAGTGCCCGCCAGCAAGATTGTAGCTTTTTGCAGGGAGAGGAATTCAGTTCTGGTGCAGATATGGGTACATCTTTCACAAATGAAAGCTTATGACTATCACTATAAAGAAGCTTGTTCATCTGCATCCCAGTGGCTTTATTTCTCACTCTGTATGGCTTCTGTGTATCCTTTGCAGTGTGCTAGACCAGAGAATTACAATGACATCGATGCTTTATTATAAATAAATAAATAAATAGATCATTCATGGTGGGTCACATGAAAATATCTTCTTTCTCACCTAAGAATCAATGGTGATGAGTTTCTTTACCCCAGTAAGTTGGCTTCCTAATTGAAGCCCACAGTTACCTCCAGAAATAGGATGATTGTTCTCTGCACCTGCTCATCCACAACTGTCATGGTGCCCTGGACTACTGAAAATAGAGGTGGAGAAATACAAGATAACAAATTAGATACTGATGAGCTCTGTTGATATATTTTTTCCTGTGCTTTGATCTATATACGTGTGTGTATATATATAAAGTCATCTACAGCTGTGCTTTCAAGACACAGTTGCTGATCATTTGTGCTCACTTCTTGGCACCAAAGCTTGGAAAGCTCCTGGGCTCTGGTGTTCATTACTGACACTGGCCTCAAAAATGCTGTAAGAGATCTGAGCAAGGCAAGACTCTGAGGACCCAACTGAAGAAACAAGACATATTTGTCCTTCAATCACAGTCTCAGTCTTTTGTCAGTACTTGAAGAAGACTCTGAAGAAGACTCTGAATAATTTTTAGAATGCCAATACCTTTTATTTTGAGTCTTAAATCCGCATGTGTTAGCATTTTAACCAAAGAATGTGAAACTCGTGCCAAATTTATTAAATGCTTGGGATGCTTTCTGTAACATACCATTACAGAACCACATTGTATTCTGTGGCTAGTGCAGTATAAAATGCACAAAACACAGAGCTCAAATATTTTGATATTTTGCACCTATCTCCTGACCCATTAATATTTTAATAATTTTACTACTTTTGAAATAGGAACTATTTTATTTCTCTAGGAAAAGTGTTAGAAAAAAAATCTCTTAACTGTAAGACTGAGTTTGTAAAACTGAAGACCCCTGATCCTCCAGTTCAGTAAAAATGTGAATATTTCCTTTGAGAAAAAGATAACTGGAGTGACTTGAGTTCTGCTGCATCTCCCACAAAATGTGCGGGAACACCAAAGAATTTTCCTCCAGCCCTAGAAGGACCTATAGAGGACTACCAGCCTTTTGTCCCCTTTCATACATTCAGAAGATGTAACATTATTATAACTGTTAAAGAAAATTGACTTTACAGCAAAGTGTGATGGACATAGGGAATAAATTCCTGCCTCTCTCCTCAGTCATGAAATTCTGGCTTTTGCAAGTTGAGCTTGCAGATTTTAATTAGACACCTGTGTCATACCTGTTACACACAGGAACCAGACTTAGTGTTTCTTTTGGTGTGGGTGTGAGTTTTTAAATTATGATTTAGACAAAATGCCACACTGGAATTGTAGAGGCCTGATTTTGTATTGTATAGCATGAGCTCAGAGGAGCTCACCCAATTCTTACCAGTTCAGTCAACTTCAGACTTTGTGTCATTGCTTCCCTTAAATCTCAACTGAATGCAACTTCTGGTCTCCGACTATATCTCTTCTTTGTAGTTTAATTAACAATCTTTATCCCATTTTCCCTATTTATCTAGTCTGACAAACAGTCCAAGCATTCAGGAACAGCTTCCCTGTTGGTAACTTTGAATAGCTGGGTAGCAGCACTTTGGTCATGAGCTGTAGTTTCAGTATTTCTTTACTGTGTCCTTCTGGGTTTCAGGGCCTTGTGTGTTTAGAAACTACTTAAGCACATTCAACAGAGAGAAGAAATGGTTTGCGGAGATTTTCTATTTCTCTGTTTTCTTCAGGAAAATCTTTGCTTTGTAATGAAGAAATCTCATGATATCAGGTGACTGGCACATTCTAATGGCCTCATCCTGCTGTTTTTTACTCATACAATAACTCTACTGTCTTGAGTCATTCAATTTAGTTGTAAAAAGAGTGCATTACAAACTTCCTGTAGCTGTAACAAGTAATTAGCAAAACATCCTTCTGCAAGCAGCACGCTGTGCTAAAACAAACATTGTGTACAAGGCTGAGACATCTCAGTTGGCAGCCATAGCTTTTCATCACTGATGGTTAAATGACTTTTACAATTTGCTTCCTGAATAGAATAATTAATAAAACAGATTCTTCTTCCCACACAAGTCAGGTCTCTCTAATGCTGTGGCCTGTTGTCCTGCAGCTCTTTGTTGCCTCATTTTCTCAGCTGTGGCTGCTGTTCTTGCACTCCCTCAGCTCTCATCTGGATCTCTACTGCCTTCTCTATGGCAAAGGATTAGCCATTTACTTATGTATTTATTTACCTATTTTTATCTATGAAGGTGCTCTGCCCCTCTCTGCTAGCCAATAAAAGTTTTCAGAAAGGTTTTAGGTTTGGATTACCAATCCTACGTCAAATTTGAGCAAACGTGACTAATCTGACCTGAGACAGACTTACAGAGTGATCAGCTATGCCACATTTTTACAGACAACAGGTCTAAAAATAGCACTGTAAGTTCTGTCGTTGTTAAATTTAGTGCTATAAATCTCCAGTGACCTCCAATGTTTCTCCCTAAACAAGGTATCACTATGATGGTCCCTCAAGCCACCTGATTTTGTCCTCATGCCTTAATGCCCTGTGAAAACTTATTTTATCCCGTCTTTGCATAGGAAGTCATAGGTCCACATTTACAAGTATAAGTAAGTAATTTTTCAATGACGTATGGGAAAGCAGTGCACCAAAATGACCAATATTTGCTGAAGCTGGCAGACAGAAAATATATATGATCCTGTAGGAACACGTATTTTTTTAAGATATATGGAAATGACAAAAATTAAACATAGTGCTTCTGGTGACATTAGTGAGCTTTAAGAGTGGCTTCATGAAGCTTTTGAATCTTTCACTGATAAAAATAATCCCTTCCAAAGGGAAATTAATCTCCTTTAAACCATTTCTTTTTGTCAGTCTTTGAAAAAATTTTCACAGTTTCAATATTTTGACATTCTGCCTTAACATCTCAAGCTCAATTTCTTCTAACTTTATGAGCATAACTGACAGTCCTCCCCTGCACAAAAATGACTGCTTGCCCATCTCGGCCTCTGAAGCATCGTTACAGCTCAGCAGAGTATTTCTGTCCAAAAGAAGTCAGTCCCAATTGTGTATCTGGCCAACCAGACCATGGACCTGTGTGCATTTTTTCTGGGGCTTGGCCTCTATTGTTCCAGTATGCCATTGAACATGAGAGAGAATTTAGTCAGCCACTTGTCAAGGAAATGAGACATATAGAGATACACATATGTGTAAATTTTTTTCTTCTTAGAATACCAAGACCAATTCACTTTGGGATACTATTAAAAATAGGACTATGGGATTTCTCAGAACACCAAGTTTTCTCTTAAATCAAATCTAGGGATCATGAGTGCACATCAGCACATGGAAATAGAAAGGAGTATTTTCTTTCAACAAGGAATGCAGACAAAGTGCTGAAACATTTATAGTCCCAGGATAAGCAGAAAAAGACTAGTTAAAGCCTGCAAGAATTCCTCACAGAACAGAGGAAAGACTGAGACAAGATGCTGAGAAAATCAGTAAAAAGATGCAGAGCAAGAGAAGGTAATCTGATGCCAATAGAGATGGAGAGAAGTTTTTCTTCAAACAAAATAGATATTCCTGTTTGGATAAATCAGTGTATTTGCTCACTGTAACTGCTGACAACAAATTTCTTTGAATTTTATGGGATGTTTTCTTTAAATAAAATGAGATGTTTGGATTCCTTGTGTGTGCAAGTCCAATAAAAAAATGATGGTACATAAACACCAACAGGACGCTCCCATGAAATGTATTAAAAGCTGTTTATTGCATTTTCTAAAATCTCTTGTTCTTCACATAAGAAGGCTTTGAATGTTTAGAAAATGCAGAAGCCTCACAGCAGCAGTTCATTCAGGAGAGAACACTAAATACTTGAACAAGCAATGGACCCACATCTGATGTCTGGAAATTTGGGTATATAAAGGAAGATAACAATATCAAAATAAAACATAGATGGTGAGCAAAAATTCCAACCATATTACAAAAAAGTTAGATATTTGTTGTAGTAGACATCCTTCTCTAATTCAAGACAGTAGTATTGTAACTGAAAATAAGGGATCCTTCTTTTACATGCCAATTCCCTGTGTAGTTGGGACAACTACATTTAGTGGGAGAAGCATTTTATTGATCATATTTATCGTTCCTGCAAAACAAATTGTATTTCCAGACATGCCAGAAAGAACCACAATAAATTAAAATACAGTGTTTTTAAGTGTTGATCTTTCAGCATAACATCTTGCCTTTACACCTTTTCTGTTGTTTTGAGCTGTATGTATGATGGAAAGTATCTGATATGTTGTACTAAAGTCTATTTGGATTGCAGCGTTGCTATTAAAGGAATGGAAAAAAAGAGCTTCCAAAGCTTACTGCTGATTTTATGTTAAAGCTGACTACAATGTTTGTATTTACCAAAGTTAATACACTGATAGTATAAATTTCCTGTATTTTGAATGGAAAAAATATGAAGAAATTAATAACTTTATAATTAAAGTTCTAATTTTCAGCATTTAAAAGGCTCTTCTCATATTTTTCTTCTTTTTCAAAACATCCTAATCTTTTAGAATTGCCAATTATGTTGCTTTCATGTGAATGTAGATCAAAAATGAATAGTCAGCTAGAATTTGTCTTAATAGAGCATACAAACCCTAAAAGATATACTGCTGGTATTTGCATTAAAAAGCCAGAGAAACTTCTGATAGATCTAAGAAGGAGTCAACCTTCAAATGAGAAATCAAACAATTGTTCTGTCTGAAGAAACATTACCCTGTGGATGTCTGTGTGGACCTGTGCACTGCTCTGTGATCTAAGGCATGGTATTCTTAAAAATTCTGGGCTGATTATAAACATCTAATGGCTATTTGCTGTTGGCTGACCTGCCTTCCACCCAGCTGGTACCAAATGTGAATACTTCTGCTTTGTTCTTCATGCTTTCCATACAACCTATCTTTTATCCTAATATATCCCCAGTTAAAGAGTATTGAGAGGATATGCCTGGTATAACAAGTATTGTAATAGAGTCATAGAATCATTAAGGCTGAAGAAACCCTGCGGGACCATCAAGTCCAACCATTAACAATCTTGCCACTGCCAAACCCTTTTTCAAAGATCACCCCTGTCAGTGAGAAAAGCTCTTCAGGTAATATGTTCTTAAGTCAAGATGGTACCTCAAAGTGGTCAAACCTGGAGGGTCTGGAAGGGCAGTGGATCACCTCAGTTTTGATATCTGTAGAGAAACTGTTCCAATGGACCTTTAATGTGCCATAGGATTTGATGCATAGACTGTTTGGAGGCCAGCACCAGCCAAATGGTTCATCAGCAATGTTCTAATGCTGAAGCAAAGATGAGCAGAGAGGAAATGCTACTGAAGGCTATAAACCAGATCCTTCATTATTAGCCAGCACACTGTGGAAACTGGACCTTGACATAGTACATCAGACAACAGGATCCAGTGCTATTGGAGGTGCTTCCAATTTGGCAGCCCAAATCTGTGATGTCTTTTACTGTTACCAGTGGCCCTCCAATTCCATGGAGACTGGCCACAGGCTAATTGCCAAGGAATTATCCAAGTGTGTTCACACCAAATGAATCCTTTATAGATGGCCAGTAATTGACAAACTTACAGCAGAAACAAAGAGGTGAATAAAGCAAATAAAGGGCAGTACATGAAAATAAGAGCTTCCAGAATGAAGTGCCGTCACATAGCGTGACCTTACACATGCACATGATTCGCTTCATAGCTATTCTATCAACCTAAAGCTTCAGCACAAGATATTTTGACTACACTGAGAAAGAAAAGGGTCCAGACCTTGAAGTAATAAATCTGTTTCCCCGCAAATATTTTGATTAACATTTCTATTTCAGCTTCAAAAGAAAGGTTTCACACCTAGCAACTAATCTTGCTAGAACTATACTATACTATTAAGAAACAACTATATAGAGTTGTTTCTTAATTTCTGATGTTTGCTTAATAACCAGGAACACCTGAATGGTCACTCAGTTTTCAGTACCTTGTAAAGAAAGTATTTAATCTCCTTGAGGGATTGCTACCAAATTCACTTAGAAGGACTTCTCAGTATGACATATGGGTATGTTGATGAAATGCAACTCAGCATCACATTCTTAGGTACTGGGAACAATCATCTTTATTCATTCTAACACCTAATGGAGTGATCAATAGCTTTTAATAAAGCCCCCTGTTATTCATATTTAACATAAATAAAATTTCATATTGTATTTCAATTAAATTACACTTTATGCCATTCTTTACTGTCAATTTTTTGCTTTCTTCCCCATTCATAAGTTTTTGTTTCACAAATGCATGTAAGACCCTCAGGGCTCTCCGTACCTTTTCTCATATTTCAGTAATGTTCTGCATAAATAGAGCCTTGTGCTCAGAATTTCTTCCATAGAGCAGAAATATCTCGATTCCCTTCTGTTCAGCAGCAGCACAACTTACCTAGCAGAACAAAAGTTGAAGAATCAGAGATTATTACATCTCTCAGTTTTCTGGTAAAGAGATAAAGACCCTTGTTCCGTGAAGGGAGCTCAGGACTCTCTCAGTCTTTCTTCATGCATGACATGAGTGATGGTTCTGACACCAGGATGCAAGAAAGCAAAATGAAAAATGGAAGGCACAGCACAGAGTCAGGAGCAGGTGCACTCGCCTGAACAGCAAGATGCTGAACACTTGCCAAAAGCACCCACAGAATTATTTCTCTTTTTCTTCTCATTCAATACCTCTCTCACCTTCTTCCCTGCAAAGAAACATCTGGCAGCTCTGTTTAACTTTAACCAGATCTCTCATCTCTGCAACTTCACTGACTGCAATGAAAAATGGATTATAGGCACAAGGATAAGAGCAAATAGTTCAGGATCAGATTACTTCAAACCTTATCAGACCCACCAAGTCAGCTTACTCCTAGCCCTACTCACAGGTATAAGTCACATGAGCTTTGAAAACCTGTCCTCATTTTTTCATTTTGTTCCAGCCCTCAAGTCCTGTTTTCATCCTCTCTTGCTATAGGATTAGGAATTTTCTTATTAGACTCTGGCTGACCTTTCCATGGATACAATCTTCAGGGGAGAGAAGAGACTGTTGTTGTATTGGTTGTGGTGGGGGCTTTTCCCATACAAAAAAACTTAAAACTTGACAAAACTGTTTTCTTAAACTCCGGTTGGTCAGGCTTCCTTTTTGGTAAGGAATATAATGGAATAGTTGTGAGTGAAGGTCATATTCCCAAAGATCAACCTACCTCCCCAAAGCATAGGGGCATTGGAGATTTAAAAGAAAACAGTACCAAATTATTTTTCTGACGTGGATCAAACAATATCTTTTCTATAAACCAAATTCTTGGCCAAAGTTGAATTGTTTCTGGAAAAATAAAAATCTCAGAACTCCTCATAATTGTCTTTTCTCTGAAATAAAGAGTAAATAAATAATCAGTCTGAAGAAAAAAGCATTTTTAATCAACCAGATGAATAAGAGGTCAGTATTCACTAAAAAATTTTATTTCCAGCAGTTCTATGTTGTGCAGTAAAATGTGTTAAGACTGCAAAAAGAAAGTAATATTTTGTTTCATCTTCCCTCTGCAGGAACATTCATGAAATGTGTTTGTGTCATTTTAGCTAATAAACATTTTTTTGTGCGGTGTCTTCCAGGGTGTTGCTCTTTCTCTCTATGAATTGCATTTAAGGTGGAGATGGGAAAATCTATATAATCATTCACTGTCTAGCTCCAAGTCCAGGCAAAAGTTCCCATCTTCCAAGTGCTCTTTTTCATTTTATTGATATTATTATGGCAAATTAAACTGCTGAGAAAATTCTATACAGTTTCCTAAAATTGTATATTTAGTATGTATCTTTCTCAAGTTGGAATTCCCAGCCAAAAAGACACCAGAGTCTACAATGAATTGGGAAAACAGGAATGAAAGACTCCATTAGTCCCATGAGGAATGCCTCTGCATGTGCCTTGGTTTGCCCTGGATTTCAATAAAGAGGGGAGGTTGTGGGGTTTTTTGCTTGTTTCTTTGTTGGTTTTGCTTTGTTAGGTTTTTCCTAACAGCAGTATAGCCTGGCTGGCAAAATTCCTGATAGGAGTAAAATAAGATAATCCCTCCAAAGACACACATAGCCTTCCCCTCCAGCTGCTGGGATGCAGAAGATACACAGGTCCATTCTTAAGGTCTAACGCTAAGCCCATAGAGAGAAAGTTAAGCTTTGGCTCTACTGTACCCAGTAACCCCATTCTGAACAAGATCAGGGAATTATTTTTATCCCCAGGTGTGTATGCCCTATTTTTGGATCATTTGAGAGCCAGACGTTCTGTAACAGAACAGCTGCTTCATCCCGTCTCTATCACAAGGAGCTCTGATGTTTTGTTATGTCTCAGATATCGGCAACCTCCACACCAACATCTGTCACCAACTTGTGAGGGCCATCTCTTGTGGCGAATATGCTTTCCAGAGGGTCTTATTACCTGCAACTGAAACAACAAAAAATGGACTCTGCATTAACTTTGGCAACAGCTGAAAGAGGCCACGGATGCTGGGCAGAGTCCATAGCTTATAGGAGCAATTGGATCAGGTGTGGTAAAACCAGAGCAACCTATGATCTTGAAATGCTGTGTTGGTGGGTGAACACACAAGCACATGGACGTGGGAAAGCAATGAGTTCCCCCATGGTACCTGGGGAATGGTGAAAAGTGAATTCATACTGCCTAGCAGTTCACTGTGTGAACACAGTTATATACCTGTATTCAAGAGTAGCATGGCCACAAAGACAGGCTGAATTAACCCAGCCCCTTTTATCTGTGGTTGTTCAAACTCAGATACAAAAAAATCTAAGAGAAATCTCTTCTGACAGCTGAGTCAGAAAGCAGCAGGAATTGATGGTAGTCATTCACTGTGAAGATCAAGCTGTGGTTCTCACAAATATTTTATCACCATATAGCACAGAAAATCTCCCCATGAAATTCTCTGCACCTACACACTGACAAGCAAAGTCCAAGCAAGATGTCCCTGTAAAAGCTGCTTTCTTACTTGTATCCAGAGGTTTGACTCAACCCACGCACAGCTTGTATAAATTAACACAGGTTCCTTCCCTTCAAGACCATTCACTTCAGCTACTTTGACTCAAAAAAAAAAAAAAAAAAAAAAAAAAAAACAAACCAAAAAAAAAAAAACTTAGTGTAAATTTGTCAAGGACCAATGAACACGTTGAAAAAGGAGATCTGCATGAAGACCAGTTATGAAAAGGCTTGAATCCAACACTTAGGACTAAAGTGTACTTTTTGTTAGGCTTCCAGGAAAAATTACTGGTGCAATAGGTAAAGTGGAGAATGAAAATGACCTTAAACACAGCAAAAAAAAACCCAGCAAGTTTGAAAGCAGAGGGTTCTTATATTTTCTAAATTATGTTGGCAGAATCTTAATTTTGCAGAGCTGATGGCTTTTGTTTTATCTCCTCACCACAGTTAATCTGACATTGTGCTACTGTAATTATAAGC